TTTCCTTGCTAGATTAACACACTATAACACCAAGAGGATAGGGTTTCAGAGGTTTGAGAGTGATGGATGCTAAAAATGAAACCTTAAATCTGAGATTAGGTGTTTAAATACGAAGGAAAACCCTAAAAGATCATGCAGCCCTTGCCACGTCGTGGTATTCTTCCGGGTACGCGTTCTTATTTTGGCTCGTCATGTCGTGACCACCCTATGGTCACGTCGTGGCACATAATTTTTCCCAAAAATCATATATTTGACTCCTTTATGCCTTATATTGATATAATCTGGAAAACGAGTGTTACATGCTTTCTGGCTGAAAGGGTAAAAATAATTATTTTGGTTATCCAAGTAGAAATATACCCCTCACATCACATCACATCAGAACCCCACGTTGAGATTTGTATATTTTATCCACAATAATCTCATCACAGAGAAGAGGACCTAAAACAATTAATAGATTATGTAAAAATAAAATTAAAACTACTGGTAACAGCTTGGGATTTCAATCAGCTTGGGTTGTGGGTGCGGCAAGGAAGGTATCTCAGCTTCAAGCACCAATATTGTAACGCCCGTAGATCCGGGCTAGTCAATTTAGAGATAATAGGTATCTAAAACGACTTTTCGACAAAAGATTATTTAGAATAAATAATCTTACCCAAGTTGTATAATATGTCTCAAGGGTTCCGTACATATAAATAACGCCGAAATCCGAGTTATAACGAAGAAGTTATGACCCGTCGAAGTTTTACGGCAAAACCGGCACGGCACCGGGAAGCGTAAATAGTGAATTTACGATAGAGCGACTTTTAGCCTTAGCGATCTAAACAAAAGTCGTAGAATACGTTAAACCGAGAGTGTACATAAAAATAACACTCAAATCTGACTTTGTATGGGGAAGTTATGATTTTTCGAAGTTTCGGCTTAGCAGTGTACAACCCGAAGTTCGAATATTAGATCGAGCGGTTTTTAGCCGACACAACCTAAACGAGATCGAAGATCTCGTTATTAGTAGCATAACGATAAAAAAACAGACGAAAACGGACGTCGGATGAAGAAGTTATGAATTTTTAACGGACAAATCATGTCCCGGCCTGTTAAAAATATAACTTTTAAAATAAAGTCAAAATTAGCCGACGAAGTCTAAACAAAAATTGTAGAGTACGTTCCCGCCTACGCGTGGATATAAAGAACGTCAAAAACGGAGTTTGTATGCGAAAGTTACGGATTTTAGAAGATAATTAGTTTTTGGGTAATCTGCGAGTGACACGTGGCGCAATCTGGGCCATACCTTCTACCCCACGGCTTGGAACAAGATGGGGACACGTGGCAATGAACGCGCTGCATTCGTTTTGGGAACGCGTTGCGTTCGCACCGAACTCAGCCTATAAATATAGGCGCAAATCACACCAAAAACTCACATCTTTCCAATTATTTCTCTCTCAACACCCCCAATCTCTCCCTCCCAATCCCTAGCAACTTCCAAGTGCTAGAGGCGAGTCCCGGAGCGCCAGAAGGCTCCGAGAAAATAGCTTTTTACTTCGGAAACGTTGCTCCAAGCGAAGCCCGGTTTTCTATAAAACCCGCTGTAAGTGAGCTACGTCCACGCTATTTTTAATATAGCTTTTATTTAATTATAGTAACGTTATTAGGGACTTAAAATAATTATTTGGACTAATATTATGAGTTATATAGAGTGTTTTTTAACGTTTATATAATAGTAATAATAGCTAGACTATTAATTAGTCGTGGTTAACGTTAGACTAAACCCTAGTGGTATTTATACTAGGTTTTGTCAAGGGAAAACTGTTTTGAGGTAACGAAGTGTTGTCCGAGTACCGAGTCACCACCTAATCAAGTGAGTGCATAGTTACTTTCATCTTACACATAGATATGAAGTATTTTATTTAAATTACGTGCTATGTGTGCATATTGTCTGAATACTTGTTGTCCATGCTGTGTGAAAGATTTTTATACATGTTTTAAATGATTAAAACTGTGTATGTATTTTATATCTACAAATATGTTGGGTATAACATGGGTAGATGAATGATGAGGGACGAAAGCTGATATAGAGGAAAATTGGTAGTGTGGACATAGTGCCCTATAGGTGGCCATTGGTAGCAATGGACCTAGTACCCTATAGATGAGCATTGGCAGATGCGCCATAACCTGTAGATGTTTTTGGATCTACGAGGTACTCTAAAACATCCTAGCAGCTGCGCTCTAAGGATAGTATCGGCAGCTGCGCCTAATAGAGGACATTATAACCGTGACAGTAGCGTTTAAAGGACAATACCGACAGAAGCGCCTCATAGAGAATGTAACAATTATGGCAGCTGCGCCTAAGTGATAATATTAGCAGCTGTGCTTGTCAACTGTGGCAACGTTGGACTTCGTGCTATTTCCTTAGGATGATCCTTAGGAATGAATGAACGAGGAATAGCTAATTCTTAGGGTAAATCCTTAAGAAGATAATGGGGATGGGTAATTGGGTTGATTGTTTGATGTTTAAACATAATAATTATATTATTGTGGGTCGAAAACCCTATGTACTCACCAGGTTTCCCAACCTAACCCACTCCAGCTTATTTGTATCACAAGTGTCGATATGAAGTTACATTACACTGAGAGATTAAGGAGATATAAATCACCAGTGATAATGAATGTAAGTTCTGTTTATGCTTATGTTTCTGTATTGACGATGACATCCCAAATGTTTTAAAATGAATAAAAATACTTTTCTTCGGGAATGCTTTGATAACGTATTTATCATGTTTTACTGGGAATAAATTCCGCAACATTTTTCTTAAAAGAGATACTCTGATTTTTATTAAAGCATAAACAAAATCGGTATTTTCTGGCTGTGAAAATGGGGATGTCACAAATATGATCACTTCTTTTACTGCATCTTTAAATCATGCTAGTCATGAAATGAAATCAATACACAATTGTGACTTTTTTGGCACAAAACGTTGTGATATTTAATTTCTTACAACTCACCTGTGAAAACACATGGTAAAGTTTAGAGGAAGATGAGTGTAATTTACGATTATAACCTTCACATTTACTGAATAGAAGAAACTTGTGAGGTTTATGAACCTTGAAAAGCCATTAATTTCTACTCTTCCACAAACCACTTGACATCCAGGTCTTGAACTTTGAGACTTTTCCAATGCTAACTGTGGGGATATCTGTAATAAAATACTCTGTAAAAACTACATATACAAGGAATGTAAAACTCAAAACAATTAGAGAATAAAATTAAATTATTTTGAGAGCTTATATCACTAGACAAATGATAAAAATTTAAAATCCAAAATAGTTTAAAAAATGATATAATCAAGAAAGACCACAACTTAGGGCTAAGAAAATGAAATTGACCTGAACCATAATGGGATAGAAATCGTATCAGGATTCTATGTGGCAGAAGGATGAATTGATTGAAATTAATAGAAATTATTTTAATGGTAAACTATGAAATTGGGCCAAATTGAACAATTGAAAATGAAATCGGTCTAATAAAAATGGGAATTACTTGATATTTGACATTAGGAGGCTCATTATGGCAAAGATCCATTGTCTTTAAGAGCTATTGGGAGTCTGGATACACACCACCACATATTAGAATTCAAAAGCGAGGTCTTTTTAACCTTTGATTCCAAATTTATGATGGAAAGAACAAATTGAGTGTCTTTGACTTCCAATTCCAAAATCACGACTAATTGGATTTGAGCTTTTGTGTGAATATCGTTACAAACAATAAAGTACACTACAAATAAGTAGTAAAACTGACATATATAAGCGATTTCTGGCAAAAAGAACCATGAATCCTAAATATAGGAAGTTGTGGAGCCAAGAAACTGTAAATAGCAAGTTATTACGGTCCATATCGAAAGTTGAAGAAATTGGAGGGCTGAGATTATCCTAACGGATTTTCACTCACCGCCATCAAGAGTATACGGTTGGGCGAAGTGGGATGCTAGGAGGGGGTCGCCTCGGTCACCAAACACCACCCTTAGCTTGCGCTAAGGGGCTCGCCAAAAAGAGTTGCCAACCGATTAACGAGATGAGAGAGGAGAGAAAGTTTCAAGGAGTGTTTTCATTGGTTGGCTCTATTTTTCTTTTATTTGTTTTTTCTTTTTCTAAAATAAATCATATTAAACTTTTTTCCCCAACTTTTACAATCCTCAAATGTTAAGTCTAGATGACAATAAAAAAAAAAAAAAAATCTATGTGGCAACATACCACTCCCTTTGCCTAAAGAAGGACATTAACAAGGTAAAAATACAACATTCTCAAATACAAATGATTATCCACAATCTAGTAAAATTAGGGATGTTCGTTTGGATGGATTGGTTTGATCCGATCCGATCAAGTAAATCCAAATATATTTCGAATTTCAAAACATGGATCCGAATAGTCTAAACTAAATTCAAATGCGATCCGATCCAACCAAATTACAATTCGATTGGATCGGTTTTTATAATTCGGTTTTTAAGAGGCAAAACATTTTAAAAAAAATATATAAATTAAATTTTATCAAACTCTATAAAAGTAACTAAAAAAACTTTTTAGTTATGAATTATAGTTTATAAAAAACTATTAAGAAAATTTGATTATAGATTAATATTTCATTGGCAAGTTTTTTTCATAAGAGATATATATTAAGTTATTATATTGGATAAAAGTTTCTTATAACTAAAAAAATAATTAAGTAAATTTATAAAATATTAAAGATATATATATTAAAAATAAATAATAAGTTGTTATTTGGTTTTTTTGGATTATTCGGTTCTTATTTTATAAATCAAAACCAATCCAAAATAATAATTCGGTTTAGCTTAAAATCAATCCAATAATCCAAATATCCAAACCAAATAGTCACATCCAAATTATCCGATTAAACAATTCGATTTTAACCGAATAACAAACCAGAAAAATACATAGATACCTCACTATCACTTTACCTTGTTACGGGTAAAAACCCATTTAGAGCATAATCCGCATCTAACCAATTCGAATCCAAAAGAAAAAAAGGTTAACTTTGATTTAAATTTCTTCCACAGTGGTCTCTCGATAAAGGGTGTTTGCAGCAGCCATTTTTTTTAAACTTTAGTCTGCGAAAATGGAAAAACCCTACAAAAAGGAAGTGCTCCTCTTCTATTGCGTGGAATCCGAAGAACTTGCTCGCAAAATTTCCGCTCAATCGGACCTTATTCAGCTCCAGTCCATCAATTGGAGGTTTGCTCTCACCCATCTAGATCAAAATTGTTATTTCAAGTCGTCTATGCAAATTAGTCATTCAATTTATTGTTTTTCCACCCTATTTATTCAATGAGCATACTTTCAGCTTTGATAATAAGAATATAACACATTGAGATTGCTTTAAGTTTCACTGGTTCAGTGAAGACTGCTACTAGAACAAGAATGTTATATAGACGATAAGGCCATAAAGGGATGGTTATCGTAGAGAGTTAGGGTTAATCTACAATACTGAAACTGGAGAGTACATTGGTGGGGGTATATAAATGAAAACCCTAAACTACAAAGTGCCTGTGTGTTTCTTCCCTCATTCTCTTTTGAGCATAATATTATCGAGTTTCCGTTTTGTGATTTGTGTTGTAGGAGCTTTGATGACGGGTTTCCTAACTTATTTATAAACAATGCACAAGAAATCAGAGGGCAGCATGTTGCTTTTCTTGCATGTTTCAGCTCTCCAGCTGTCATATTTGAGCAGCTTTCTGTTATATTTGCACTCCCAAGACTTTTTTGTTGCTTCTTTCACATTGGTGTTACCTTTCTTTCCAACTGGCTCCTTTGAAAGAATGGAAGAAGAAGGAGATGTAGCAACTGCATTCACCATGGCAAGAATCTTATCAAATATTCCTGTATCAAGAGGTGGTCCCACAAGCTTAGTTATTTATGACATCCACGCTTTGCAGGTCTGTTTCTGTTTCTTAATAAACATTGCTTCAATTCAAGTCCTTTATGTCTGTAATCTGTATATTATGGTTTCTAATTCTATCTTTGCAGGAAAGATTTTACTTTGGGGATCATGTTTTGCCTTGTTTTGAAACTGGGATGCCCCTTTTGAAACAACGTCTTCACCAACTTCCTGATGCTCAAAATGTTAGCACTTCTATCTGATATCTGTTAAGTCGTTCTTTATGCATTAAGTCAAAAAGAAACAGATACATAATCTTTTATGTGGTAATAATAAAATCTATTGAATGAATATTCAGATTGTGATCGCCTTTCCAGATGATGGAGCTTGGAAGCGATTCCACAAACAGTTGGATCATTTCCCTACTGTGAGTTTATTTTTCTCGAGGAAATTGGAAATTCTGTTATATAAATATATAATATGTGTGATGATGTGGCAAATGACAGGTGGTTTGTGCAAAAGTTCGTGAAGGTGATAAAAGAATAGTAAGGTTGAAAGAGGGTGATCCTTCAGGTCGCCATGTGGTAATTGTTGATGATTTGGTGCAATCTGGAGGTACTCTGATTGAATGCCAGGTAATAGCAACCTACTTTACTCATAAGCAATGTACTTTTACTACTTGTAAAATGTTTCAGAAAGTAGATTGCTATTATGGGTATTTTAATGTTGGTATTGTTATGCAGAAAGTTTTGGCAGCTCATGGAGCAACAAAGGTGAGTGCTTATGTGACTCATGCAGTGTTCCCTAAAAAATCATGGGGGAGATTTGTTCACACAGATGGTAAGTAAGATCATCTTGAATATATAATCTTTAATTTATGTTGAATGATTAAAATGGGGTTTGACCGTTTGACTTGTATGTGTGTTTAGAGAAGTCAAAGAGGGCGTTTTCGTACTTTTGGATTACAGATTCGTGTCCTGTTACTGTTAAAGAGATTGCAAACAAAGCTCCTTTTGAAGTTTTGAGTTTGGCTGGATCTATTGCAGATGCACTTCAAATATGATGTTGTTTTATTATGTTGAGGTGTTTTAAATTAATGGTGCCTGTTTTGTGTTTAGAATAATGTGATATGTGGACATGTTTGAGAGGAAGAAAAAAAGGAATTGACACTTTGACAAAAAAAAAGTTAATTAATTAAATTGTATGTTGGTTCTTTATGGTGATTTGATTTGATTAAATTGGGAAAAATTGATGTCATTGATATGACATTCAACTATAATTATTCAATTCATCATTTAATTACAAACGTTTGGGCTTGTCAATACCATTAGTTTTGAGTGTTCCATCTTTTTTTTTCATTATTTTAAATAATAATTATTATAATATGTTAACCATAATTTTTTATATAAAGATATACAAGTTTACTTTAATTTCAATTATAAATATAAATTATGAAAAGTGAAATTTTATAATATACAAATTAGGTGTATTGATTATATCTAAAATCATGTCGTTTTGGCAAAGCTTGGAGGGACATGAGTTATAGGAGGGGAAGGTGTGACCCACATAAAGTTAAAGTTAATCAAGATCATGTTTCATGTAGGCATTGTAATGATTATTAATAAATAAAATTATAAAAATAGTTTTTGATTGCAAATCTAATAAAAAGGAGAATCTTACGTTTTATGAGACAACTCATGGTATGGATATGGATATTATATTTTGTTAATTATAATCCATTTGTTGTCGATCACAATATAAAATATTTGATTTTGGCATGACTTTTTAGGAAAATATATACAAACCACTCTTAAATGTTTCCACTTCCGACCTTTGCAAGTGAGGATCTTTTTATGTTTATGTCTTTACATACGTATTCGAACAAAAAGTAATATGCATCACATGTTTCTGCTTTTATATTATTTATATAGTTGACATGGCTAAGTGCTAACATTATTTCTATCAAGTTGTTTACTTCTTACGTTGTAATAAGATGACAATATCTATTAGTCAATTTGATTAAAATTAGATAGATATATGCAATAAATATTATCATAAAAGTAAAAATACTTTATAAGTTTTCTATTTGCATATTTAATTAAAAACAAAATGAAAAAGAAAAAATACAACTCAACATATATGACTAGAAGCATAATATCTTGACATTTTTGTTAACAAATTCAAATTCAAAGGTGATACACATCAATCAATGTATTAATAAAAGAGATAGATGTCCATATGAAGATCCCTTTTGTGTCTTTTACAACTTTTAGTATAAAAAAATAAACAAACATAAAACTTAAACTCAACCCCAACAACAATCAAAATACCACACACACCACCAAATCTTTGACTACATTTCTACCTAAAACAAACACTACTATTTCTTCAACCAAAGAAACTACTATTTGACCAACATGAAAAATAGTCAACGCAATACACATTCTTTTACAAAGGAACGACCACCTGAGCTGCAAGAGACAACAAGATCAAAATAAGTACTACTGTACTAGGTTGTTATATCTTAGCAGAATTTAAGGTTCTAGAAAGTATTTGGCAATCAATAATAATAAGCGACTCACGCGTATTCAAGATGAATGTTCATGAATCGTGCATTCTCTTTGCTTTGTGTTAATGTAACCTTCCCATCAATAACCTGATCTTGTTCTACCTCTATCGGATCATAGAAGTATATCATTGTCTGCCAATATCAACATAAATAATTTCCCACTTTAATATATCAAATCAAATACTAAATAAATAAAAAAAATACAAAATTGAATTAGTTTATATTACCTGTTGCCAATGTGTGGGTGGATCTTCGGGTGCAGTGGAAAGAACAAGTGCTTCACTAGGATTTGCACGCTTCCTTCTAGGGTTTGACTTTGTTGACTCTGATGATGGTGCATCGTTCTCAGCAGCAGGCCCACAAAACTCCACATCAAACCAAAATGCAAATCCATGAAAAGGAGCTGAAATAAATGAGTTTCTTTTAGGTTATAATCACATATATATATATATATATATATATATATATATATATATATATATATATATAAATCATGATGAAGATGAAATGAAGTTTTACCTCGCATCATGGATTGAAACTTGAAGTTTGTGGTAACAGATTCCAGTTCTTGAAGTGTGATTGTATAGCAATCCACGTGTTTTACCTGTTTGTTTCCACCAACAACAATTTTCATATATTATTAATTTCAAAAAAAAGTATATATGGAATTTTTTTTTTTTTTTATTTTTACTAACCACATGTGGCCATGTAAGGACATTCTCTCCACTGATGGTCTCAACAGATGGTTCTTCAAAGGCACATTGTTTTGCCAATGGCATTATTGGGGACACTGCAAAAAAATAGAAATAAATTAATTAATAATTAGTGTATCTGAATGCATTCAGTATGTCTGAATGCATGTGACATGTACTACTCACTGTCAATCCCATAGACATTGCGCCAGAAATCAATACTTTCAGCATATCTGTCTGGATGTGTAACAGGGGCCATGTATAGCTGAAAGCAAACACAACAAAATATAATTAAAATTTTCATAATCTAAAAAAACACTAAATGTTGACAATAAATAAGAATAAGAAAGTACATATATATATATATATATATATATATATATATATATATATATAGAGATATAGTTATATACCACTGCATTTGAAGGAAGAATAAGACCACCAGGTCTTAACCAGCGGTCTCTGGCAACAATAACACTCCCAAGCATGCTCTACAAAATACAAAAATATAAAAAGAAAATGATTTTTTTAATATATTTATTAAAGATAAATTAAACAGTTACCTCGTAAAGAAGCATATAACCCATCCATTCTGAAACTATAACATCAACCTCTTCATCAATTTGAACATCCTGTATAGACACAAAATATGATGCTTGTTTTATGAACATTGTTTATGGAAATTGTATTTGTACCTCAACACGTCCATGTAAAACAATGACTGTGTCAGAGAGGTTATTTGCCTTGACAACTTCATTTGCCTAAAGTTTTAACAAAACAAAAACAACATTAAGATTTATGACCATTGTTTTCTAAATGGATCAAATATGGAGGAAATGTCATTAACAGATATACCTGCAATGCTATCTCACTGGCATCCACTGCATAGACCTGGTGTAATGAAGTTTGAACAAGAATAATGTCAAACAGATTAAAACTAAAAAAAGCTGAACATTTTTATGGTATCAAGCAAAATAGAAAGAAAGATAGGTTTCAACGTTTCATTTCCTAACACGGAATTGCAGAAGAGAAGGAAGAAATACAGGTGTTGGATATAGGAAAGTGTTGACTTTGGGGTTCATGCTAGGGTTTTGGTGATTTGAAGATGTTCATGTTGGTTGATTAATGCTGCATGTTGTAGGGTTTATATTATAATTTATAACTAAACAAGTGTGGGTTCCATTACAAGTTGTTATAATCATCAAAGATCAAAGTGTTGACTTTAGGGCGTTTGGGTCAAACTTTTGATTAAGAGAATTGGTGATACTATTGTTGGATATAATCATTATGTATTGCTTGAATAATCTTACCCGTTTTGCCCCTGCCTGAGCACAGAATATTGAGAGGATGCCTGTGCCACAGCCAACATCTACAACAACCTATGATACATGATACATGTAGTTGTGATAAATATATATAGTACATTCAAAAAAGAAAACAAAATAAACTGATATACATGTGGTTGACAATATTTTCTTACTTTGCCTTGTATATAACTCTGATGTTGTAAAATGGCTGTCTTGTATGTTTCTGTTCGCACACGATCCTGCAAAACTAGAATAATTAGCCTAAAGTTTAAAGAATAAAGACCAAGTGGGAGTAGAAAACTGTGGAAAATGTAAATACTAAAGAAAGAGACTTGTTAAATCAATTATTCCTTGAAGAATCAAAAATGGAACTGTGCAGTGACTGCAGTCTACTTTAAGTAACCAAAACAAAATCAATTGTAGCCCTAGTGTGATAAGATTCCAGATGATATACCATGTCCATGGCAAAACTTCTTGGTTCCTTTCCAGAACATTCTACAAATCTAACAACAGAAACTTTGAGAGTAGCATATGCACAGAGACTTTGTGTTCAGAGCAAAGTAACTAGGGATATCAACCAATTAGGCCAAAAGTGCAAGTCGCCATGTGTAAAATGAAAATTAGGGATTTGGAATTGTAAAGAGGATGACACAATCATGGAGCGAACCGAAATAATAACACAAACACATGAAAAATCCGCAATGCAGACTGATGTATGTATGAGAAACAACACTAGATTCCAAAAACGAAGAGATAGTTCTCGCAATACCTTGATCATCTCTTCGTGAATACCGACGTGGGAGTAAGACTGAAAGTAAGCCTTATCAAAATCTGTACACGGGGGAGGCGCCTCTGTCTCCTGCTGCCCACTGGAAACCCTAGTCACGCCGCTCTGACGGGACCTCCGGGACCTGAAATGATCCCTTTGCGCGGTGCCGCCGCCGAGCAGCTTGTGGTGGTGGCCATTACTGTAACTCCCAGCCGGTGGCGACCTAGACATCCCTTCCATCACTCTCTACCTACTTCTGTATTCTGCACAGCCGAGAAGAAAGTGCTTCGAAACGGTTTCCTCAAGGGTGAAGGGTATTATTACTAATTATGATTTCACACAGAAAGTACGAGGGCTTCACGGGCTTCTATGGAAAATGAGGGGTCCCATGGTAAACATAAAAAAAGAAAAAAGAGAAAAAGTAAAGGGTAATTCAATCAAATGACCAAAAAGGGAAAATGAGACCTTAGGGTTTAGGACAAACAAATAATTTGGGTTCGAATCTTTCACAAAGGTAGTTATGAGTTCTTTTAAAGTTGTAGCTTTCAATCTAAAAGAGCTCATTATTATTAACTAGAATTGAGTACTATTAACAAGAGAGTATACATATTAACAAGAGAGTTTACATAAGTAGCAAAGATTTTGAGTATCTGATATCTTATGATCGTAACAAGCCTTAAGTATATATGAGGTTGTCGGTAATGAACATCTTGGTGTTTGAGATAATTTGAAATTGAGGTCCCGTTAACCATTTGTTAAGAACATGTTTTCACAAATCTTTTATAAAAGAAAAACATTTTTCAAAAGATCTATTAACAATTAAATATTTATCTCATCTATTCAAATCCATTTTCAA